TTAAGTATTCAGAGATTGGACTGACCAGTTAAGTAGTAAAAGATGTCAGTTGTTGATTTCTTGATGTCTAGCTAACGAAAAGAATGACTAGTATGATTTAGAGTATAGTTTTTCATTAAAAAAATTATGGACTAGAGAATATATTCATAGTTTAATAGTTCGAGCCATAAATACTCTTTCTCTTTATAATTATTTCGACTTTGTTTGCTACTTAACTTATTACTCTTATCTCATCATAGTAAAGTCGTAAGATAACTTTTGCTAACGTACGCTCCTTATGGGCTTAACATTAACTAAGACTGATAGACTGATAGAGTAACAAACTTCTATAGCATTATTCAAACAAACCAGTAATTTTTGAAAGTACAGATTAAACCACCGAACTACTCATTTATGCATTTACTCATCTTCAAACTCACTATCAACCTAACCTGATTCATTCATCACGTTTATAGTTGAATACTGTAAACAACGATCTTATTTAAATTCATTTGATATTATTTATTTGAATCTTCTAATTGATGTTTAGGATTACAATTGATAAGTCTGTAATCATCAACTCTTGGATTGCACTACAGGCAACCATTCATCTTTGCTTATTATTAGTAAAACAAATAAATTAATTTATACTTTTATTATTGTTAAATTAAAGTGAAAACACGCCACTGTTATTATATATGTCAACTAGTAAAAAAAAATTTTAAATCTAGGGTTACTTTTCAATTACTTCCGGTTATTTAATATCAGACAAGAAATCTACATATTACGTTATCATATGGGTTGTTATTAACTTTTCTACTTTCCTATTCCTCATATACCATAACATTATCAATATAAGATAATCGTATCTCTTTATATATATATATATATATATATATATATATATATATATATATATATATATATATATATATATATATAGTAATTAACTAACTAACTCTCCATATATCACAATTGATGCTTTCAAAATAAAGATATATATATATATATATATATATATATATATATATATACTTCAACATCTAATTTGTTTCTATACTTCCCAGTTTACAATAGTAATAATCTAGAAAAGAGATATACCATTTATCTATACTCATCAGTAATATATCATTCACGCCTTAAGAGTTTCATTTCTTTTTTTTTCTCTCTCTCTCTCATTCTCATTATTTAATCTTCCATAATGGCAGTTGTAGTTATTTCAATGAAAAGCTCATTTCAATCCAAACTGATTATTTGAATTGATTACATTCATTTCATGAATTGTAAAGAATATTCTAGGAGAGAATTAAGTTGAATATATATATCCATAGATTATTGACTTCAATTAAACAATAACACATAGATATATGGGAGGAAACGAAGATAGTCAATTATTCCAAAAATAAACTGTATTCTCAAATCAATATCAGTCGTAAATTTAACCAACCAAAATTAGACATACAATAATTACCTAAACAAAGTACCTAGTTGAATAACAAACAGATATTAACTTATCAATTTGATAATTAATTGAAGACATTGATAATTCTAGTTGATAATTCACAGATCTTATGTCATAAACCTTGCAAAAAGTATGAAATAAAATTATACCATTTGATTATTATGTTATTCAGTTCGAATTCACTTTGTAATTTCATAAACACCCCAGACACATGACTTAATATGTGGATATCTTCTAGTGTCATCATTTGAAATGCTCATTTTCTAACCAGTAGGTTACGGATTAGAATCCATCTTCTCCTATCTCAGTATACACATCTAAATCATGTCATTCATTTGTCATATGTAAACAAGTGACGCTGAGAGCAGAGCACATAGACATGTATTTGATAGGTGTTATGATGTGAAATGTCTGATTTCGATCCTGATACTCAACCGTCTTGTACGCGAGCCTAACCGGTTTCTTAAGTGTAAAGCTGATAGTGAGAAGGAATTTTCTTAGCTAAATTGAATATATATTTCTTAAAACAATAATTCATTAATGGTGTATATCTTATTCCTTAGAATTGCAGGCTATTTCTTGATCAATCATGTGCACTTATTGCTTAGCTAATTTTATCATTTTTGGATTCAGCTGAAAGTGTAAGATTAGTAGTAAGTCAGTAAATAAGTTATCTTATAATTAATATTACTATTTATTAAATATACTATCATAAAATAGTAACATATGAACAATGTTGATTGACATAAGTAACAAGAGAACAATAACTTAATAAGTCAGTATCATAACCAAAGTTTGACTGGATAATTTCGAATAAATTCAGCATTGAGTAGAATGGTATAGATAAAAATAATATATTTTGTAATATCCCAAACGAGTAGAAAAATGAGATTTTCTGACGTTTCGTAACTTAGTGTAAGTCACTTCTTCAGAGAAGAAACAAATAACCAGATCAAATTTAATCCAATTTAAATAGTACAATGGAACAACGTAAGAATATTATGTGCGATCATCCAAAAAACAGGTGATTTACAAGCGATATGTATGTAAATTTGTGTGTATGCGAGCACCGTGTTGTTGTTCCATTGTACTATTTAAACTTGGATTACATTTGATCTGGTTATTTATTTGTTCTCTGAAGAAGTGACTTACACTAAGTCACGAAACGTCAGAAAATCTAAGTTTTCTACTCGTTTGGAATATTACAAATATATTATTTTCATTTATACCATTCTACTCAATGCTGAATGTATTCGAAATGATCAAGTCAAACCTTGGTTATGATACCTATAGACAAGAACTAAGTTATTTTATTAACAAATTACTGTTATTTACCATCTCATTTCCTTTATAGTTTAAAACGTCCAACATTTTACACAGTAGTATATAACAATCTACATTGAAATGTATGATTTTATTGTTTGTTTTTGTATTCTTTCAATTTACTGTTTTATTTTAAACTCTCGGTTTAATCAAATTAACCAAAAGTATGTCAGTATATTATTCATAAATATAGTAAGGGGCTTTATAGTTGATGAGAAATTCTAAAACTGATTGAACTGAGTTTATGCCATAAATTTTGTAATGTTTCTTCCATGATAAATCACATTGTACTGACAAACAACCCTTTTAATAGACTGAGCATACAGAAAATCTTTATGACGTATATAAATGATTGGTATAGGGTTGTAGAGATAGTCAAGTTTTGATTGAGATCATGAACCGATCAATTTTAAAACATTATTGAAAACCTGGAAGTACTGGACGGCTGTTTCATCCTACTATTGGACATCTCAGGAGTGCGCATCCACGAAAGACAATGGAAGATGTTCACAAAATATCGTGGATCGATTGAAGTCAGACATGAACACCGTTGGATGATTGCTCAGTGGTCTAGAGGTTAGGCGTTCACGTGCGATATCGAAGATCCTGAGTTCAAGTTCCGTGTGCTTCCAGGTTTCCAACGGTGGTGTAACATCAACCGGTTCATGATCTCAATCAAAAACTTCATAATCTCCAAAACCCCTATACTGGTACCAATGTAATTATTGGTGTTCCATATAAACATTTCATATTACGTAATCTCATAGTTTTTTAGTGTTATTTCACGAATTGACCGAAGTTATAAATTAACACGATTGGATGCTGGCTCAGCAGTCTAGAGGTTAAACGTTCTCGCGTCAGACCGATGGTCCAAGGTTCGAGTCCCACATGTGCACTGCTTGAGAGTTCCATGATAGAACGAAATGGCCATCTAGTCCTTCCAGGTTTTCCATGGTGATCTAGCTTAAATTGACTCATTAATTTACCTATACAATTGTTATTTCATTGTCTGTTTTCTATGTCATTGACGTATTTGGTATTATGGAACATTGATTCTTATCACAACTAGTACACCTATCATCACACTATTAATTTGTGCTTTTTACTGTTATCACTGACATATATAATGCCTTGATTGGTTTAATAATTTGGTGAGACTATAATTTATGGACAAACCAATCACGTATAAAACAACAGGTCTCGGATTTTAACACGAAATAGACTCATTCACTTGGCTAAATAGTTTTGGGATTATAGCTTATGTTAGTTTGTGATGAAAATCCTTAATCTCATTCCCAACCCTAAATCATGATTCTTATTCCTCACATGGGTTTATAACTCTCATTTAGACCTAGTAAGTAGGTGGACATTCTCAAAGTCACTAAGGCGTCGCTCAAAGGTCGTCCATAAATTGAAGTCTCACCAATAACGTCGTATATGCATATAAACATTACTGTATACTAAAGTCGGATGAGGATCTAATCGAAAACAATATTGTTCGCTAATATTTTGTTCTAATAAACAATATGGGAATTTTTAAAACTTAATGGTCACGTGGGGATCCGATTGTATTCAGAAGTTATATAACTGTTAGCACAGTTTAGTGATTAACTAGAAGCAAATAGGTACCAGCCAGAGTTTATGTGACGAATTTATTTTTAATATAACAGACTTCATATGCAAAAAACTAGTAAATAAGTAAACGCTTCCCTTCGTTGAATAGGATTTCGGAACACATACATTAACCCATAATGTCAGAGATCCTAACTCTCCTCTATGTAGAAAATCTGCATTTATTATTATTTTCAAAACATAGTAAACGCATTTGAAGTCTTCTCGACAACCAACCATAAATAAAAACGGTGAATTAAGTCCACAAAATAGACCCGATATTTATATTGTAGCTAGCAGTGGGATCCAGGAGGTTATGTCGAAACAATCCCCTTATGGTGTACGTGTTGCAACAGAAATGGATTAATTGTATTCTAGAATCTCAACAATGGAAAACTGAAAATCATTTCTAGTTAATCCTAATTGATATTCAAGATAATTCTGGATTTTGATAATAACCACATATTTATCTCATAAAAGAATGAATGAAATCCTGATCATTAGGTGATACGTAATGATACAATGTGGTCAATTGGTAAATAATCACCAAACTAAATTAACGATCCAATGAAACTAACTGTTGTGAATATCAAATTGTCAAAACACTAATTTATAACATCTTTTGTACAAAATTTTCATTTTTATTAGGTAAACCTTATCACATAGTTTGACCCACAGGTTATCCTCAGCACTGACTAGTCTACGTTATTGTTAAAATAATAAATATACTGATCACATCTAACTTATGTTAAGATTGGTTGGATAAAGAAAGTATACTTTAAAAACGACAAAACAAATTAAAAACTAACTAATCAAACAAGAATATAATGTAAGAAGAAAAATGGGAATGAACTCGGTAGGTACAAAATATGTGAATTTATTTATTATAATACTAAAAAATATTACCACTACTACGAATACTACTATCAATAACACATATACATATGTATACGAAAAATGTAGAAAACCCAGTACGACACAATATCGATAAGTGGATGCACACAAAAATTGAATATATTGCATAGGAATGAAAAGAATAAAACAACTGACTACTAAATTACACTTTTTTGTACAGCACAAAATACACCATGTATCTAAATAATATGTATATATGTACACAGAAATTGATTAAATACTGAGAATTAATAAAGAATAATGGACAAAATATGTAGTAATGATAATCACAGTAAATAGTACATATATATGTATCTTGCGTTTAAAGCACAAGGATAGCATAGAATGAAAAAAATAATAATTTAACATAAAGAATAAAGGAGGATAGTTATTATTTGTACGCACCAATGAACTTTATACTTCATACTCAATATCAAACACACGAACGTACCAATTTATGGTATAGAAGAGGAAATCATGCAAACTATTATAAAAGAATACTGTAATTATTATAATCTTTTTAAAATTTCTGTGTAGAGGAAACATATATATTTGGTATGTGTGTATATGTGCGTGATGAAGTAACTATTATCTAACAAAAAAAACGAATGAGATGAATTTTTAGAACAGAAGGACAAAAAGACAATGGTGGGGGGTTTTGTTGATAAATGGGACGAACACTAAAATATAATAAAAATAACAACGACTAGCCGGACAAAATTTTTGAGTTAGGTTAGATATTAGGTTGATTTGGGTGTGGTGTTTGTATTGTTATCGATTAATAGTACCATCCAAACTTCGAGCTGTTTTTTTCCTAAACATTCTTCACTTCTCTAGTATGATGATATTATCTTTTGTGAATGTCGGCAACTAATACTACTACTACTACTGCTGCTACTATTTCATTTTGAGCATTTTCATTTTTGGCATTTTCTTTGATTTCTCCTTACGTTGTTCTTTCTCCTTGAAATAAATAAAACACGAATATAAACAATAGGGAAGATTTTTGATGCAAAAAGATTTTTAGGATAGTAGTAGACATCATAATGAGGATTTGACTTACCGTAATATTACAGAGTAGGGGAAACTTAAATTACTCTTTATAAAATAAGATGAATTGAACACATGTACACACACATAAGTAGGTGCATAACTTTGTACTGATAACTAAATGATCCATACAATAAATACGCGAACTGTAATTGAGCAACCATTATCTTTTTGTTCTCAAAAAAAAGGGAAACAGTAATATGAAGGTGATGTGATGTGAAACGATGAGAGGGATGAAGAGTTTGACTCTTACAAACTTCCAGGGATATTTTGTCAAGTGGACATAGAAATTAGATAAGCATGAGGAGTATTTTGAAAGGGATAAGAGACAAATATACCTTAAAACTGGTAAACTTTTTATGACTTCAATCTGCCTATTAATTGAACTGATTGCATAACTGTGAATCACGCTAGTTTTTTACAGATTGCAAGTAAATTGCCTTGGAATAAAATAACACGGTTAAGATGTCTTTAAATATTATCAAACGGTACGTGAACAAAAATAAGTATGGTACATTTTTACAAATTAACATCAAGATATCCATAAGAAAGAGAGTATGATTATAATAGTTTATCGAATGTTGAACAACTTAGTCATCAAACAAACAGGAACTTGCAATAAGTAATTAGGTAGTTAAATTACAATTCAAATATCACTCAAATTTATTATGTTTACCGTTAAACATCAGAACGCTAAATACTATGAAATAGTTGTGCAGAATACATGTTAAATATAAGTGATATTGAAATCTATTCATCATACAAACATATATAGGCGATTATAGACTTACCTCAAGCTTTCGAGCTTTCTCAGGATCATCCTCAGCCATTATACGCTCCTTAGCAGCTCGTAGGCGTTCACCACGACGGTTTTGAGCTGCTTCTTGTCGTTGGCTGTGCATTAACTTAAGATGTGAATCATGTGCACGTTGCCTATTTCGTTCAGATTTAGCCTTGCCCTAGATTAAACGTAAAATGTTTATTTATATGATGTGCAATACATCCGAGAGCATTCTTGAAAAGATTGACCAGTTGTTTGGACTACAAACTTCGCCACTTTAGGAATTTTGCAATGTTAGATTCAGAGCCATTCCTAGGAATCCTGACTCACAAAACTTAATTCTAAATTAAATCAAGCCTATTAAGTGGAAAGAACCCCTCTTCAATCATTATACCACGACCCGTCAAGTTTGACACATCAAGTTGTAAACATACATTTATAGTGAGCTAACATATACATACAATCAACTACCTATGAAGAGATTGAAGTGGTGGCTTGGTGGTTAGGGTGATTGACTTTCAGCCACTGCATATCACAGGTTCAAGACCAGCTCCAGTTAATTCAGTTTGAGAAACCAAAAAGTACACCATTAGAACGCGCGCTTATAGTATGACCTTTACTCAAGTATCTAATGCATGAAGCAGGTCGATACCTTGAAATCTTTTAAGGTAATTAATACACAACAAAGGCTTCAGTTTTCTAACGTTTACCGAAGCTATCGCTACCAGGTGTTAAAAACGTGATGTGTGTTCAAAACAAAACCGTTGTTAATCTTTCTCTGTCCATAAACATAACATCGTTTTTATTTTGACTTTTTCAGATCAGTCATTTCATTTTAACTAACTGTGCTGTACTCATTCTATCTTTTCTTATTATTAGTGTTCGTCTATTACATGATCACCATTTGTTTTTATCTCTCTAGTTTTTTTTTTGTTACCATCGATGTTATAGAATGTTCTTCGACATGAAATATTTGCAATATTTTATTTGGTCTCCTTGCTATACAACATTGATATGTTCAAAATAACTTCCAACTAAACACATTTCCGTAATTCCAACCATTTTTTTATAATAATGATTTTGAAACATTACAGGGTGTAATCCGTTGACGAGGGCCTAACGAAGTATCATCAAATTCATGTTACTCTGTTTAAATCACTGCTCTTGATCGTTTAAAGATCGCTTTATTCCTGAGCACCATATCATAGACCGAAAAGAGCACATGGAAGAAACCAAACTATCTAAGCGAATTATATTAGATATACAATCTGACTGAAGGACTTTCATATTCATTTCCAAATCACTGATCCTTTCGAAGTGCATTGTTGGATGGAGTAGGTCGGAAAAATATTAGGAATAGTAAGATCGTGACATGAGATTAGTTCATGAAGTCACGGAATTGTGTTGGCAGATATAAACTACCTGGCTGGAATGTATGAAACAACTGTGACTAGTGGTTGAAGACGTAAAATGACATTGTTTGAAATCAGCTGAAATAGTGCAGATGCATTTACTTATTATCTTCTTCTAGATGTTAAGCTTTAACACTCCTTCACACATACACATGCCTTTCATTCCTTCCCTTTGAACCATGTTCTCGACGTTTATTCTTATTTATTGCTATTGATATAACGATTGTTTCGAATGCTTTATGATTCATATTGTTACCTTTATCTTTTAATTGCATAATAACAACTTAAGCTAACGAATATTTTTGCCAAACTTTAAGTTGATAATGACTAACTGACTGTATAATATTGCATACTACAGAGTTGATGAAATGAATCAATTAACGTCAAATTTGACAATGTACGACTTCAATTAACTAGATCTACTAGTACTATACAAACAACTTCCTCAAAAATATTCATATTTATACAATTTAATTTGAAGAATAACATTATTTATAACGGTTGCTGGAAACCAATGAAACCAAATTATTCGTAATAGCAAAAATAACAATTATACCTCTTTACTAAGACGAAATCGCCGAACTTTCTCAATAACATAGAAAATAAAATGGAATAAGGCTGTGGCCGATTCGATTGGTTGCTGATTATGAATATTAAGATTACCATTAGCATTATTATTTGATGATGTAAGTGATGTTGAGAAAGATTTTGATTTTGCTGTTGTTGGAACATCTGAATTTTTTAAAAGGAAAATTATCAAAATAGACTGAATTATCGCATACAACAAATGTATTCAGGGAGAATATATCTATAATGATATTGTAAAAATGATCATTAAAACGGTGATAATAAATAATAATGATCTGAATTAACTGATAATATAACACCATTAGCCATATCTTCATATGTACACAACTAGGAAGTGATGTGACAGACTATAATTACGAATTAATTTACTAGAGAATGGGATCTGTTAAATTGATATTGACCGATAGGTTAGGACATTAAATCATGTTTATTTCTCTGTTAACATTTAACACATATTATTTTATTAGAAAAAAGCCTATTCTAACTAGGCAGTTGTTTTTTTTTCGAATAGTAGTTCAATTGGAGGGGGACTTACGTCAACAATTCAATTTCATGAGTAGCCATTACTCAGTCACTACTTCGTACTAATCCATATCTTCTACTGACCGACATTCTGTCCATTTATTTCAACAGTCGAAATCTTGTTTATAAAATTATCATAGAATTACTCTCACATCATATAATACATAGAATGACAGTTATGTTAAGTATAAAACATTTTTTGTGTAACATAGTGCATACGATTCTATTCGACCATAATAAAACTGACATTCAAATTTCACTAAATGATCTACATATTTGGATTTATCCAATCCAAAATATCCCAGTAGTATGACTAGACTCTATATAGTACAAATAATTTTAGACAAAGTGATATGTTTGCGATAACGCTTTGAAATAGGGATATAACAACTTAATTAACTCCTAGCTCCGACTACTTCAAAAAGATAAATCTTGGGAGAAGAAACAAAAAAAACACTAATTCACGTTTAACTTCATTCAATTTTGTACTGATTATATTGTATGAGAATTACTTAAAAAATTCGTGAAAACTAAACAAACGTCGCATGAAATTACTGGGGATTTAACATTCCCAAAACAAAGTATTAGAGTGAGGTTCGTATAAACTGGAAACTTAAAATCAATAAACCTTACAATCAATATTGTCACGTTTCGTAAGATTATTAAAGATTAATATTATCCCGTTATTGATATTTGGGAGTGAATTCTTATCAGTCATTGTAGGTACTACGGCATCGTGAGTGAGTTGCCTCAATAAAACTATTTTATAGCAAGCTTCAAAATAATATATGAATTTTGAATAGAAGCGATAACTTTACAGCTGGATGCACATAAATCCGAATTCGTAATATATCTTAAAATGTTATTACATTCTTGAAATGGTGGAGTTGTAGCTTAACAGTAAAACCTTTGTGTATTCTACCAACTTGGTGGATGAAGTGGTGTCTTAAATAAATAGGTCATATAACAACAGTTTATTTGAGGAATTGATCTTAGACAACCACTAAAAACCATGGAATACTAGATGGTTATTTCGTCCTAGGATGAAACACCTAAGCAAACCACATTCACAACCTCATCGGGGATCGAATTCAGATAATGCGTGATGCTTTCAAACAAATTAGGAAGTTTAACAATTATCAGAACTTACTGACTTAAAAATGCAAGATAATTAAAGTTATGGGAAACTTACATCTGAAAGCAAAAATAAGCGCTTTCTGTGTAACTGGAGGTTTTGCGGGAGTATTTGTATCCCTATAAGGTAAGACAAACAGTATAACTCTCATCAATATGTGTTTTGAATTCATTTAGATAATAAAAAACCTTATTACAGTTATTTGTGGACATTCATTTAGGTTAGAAACAGATTACATCATGATCAACCGGATGAAAAATAAGAAACACGAGAAAGGTTTTACGTCCTGTGGAATGAACACGCCAAGATGCCACACGTGGATTCAACTCAGGGGTTTTGGGTTACTCAGTATACACATTAAAACTAATGGGCTAATGGATCAGCAGGTGACGACTAAAATTTTAAATTTCAAGGACTCAGGGGTTTAATGCGATCATCGTAACAAACCAACTGAGGTACCTATGTCTCTTTTCGATCTAGATGAACAGCTGAAAAATGCTCCAGGATCCAGAAGGAACAAATGGCGTATAAACCTATTGTTGTTTACCGGCTACCATGATTCTGCACCTCCTAACATTAGTCCACTGCCTTATGGTTTAGACCTGTAGACTAAAGTCTCGGGTAGTGGCCGCCCAAGAAAACTACCTGTTTCGGTCTGAGCACCCGGGTTGTATCACAGCCATCACACAAACAACTACTACTAGCCTCACCTTATTGTGTGGCGCATATTTATTTGGTGCCTCCTTGTACTAACGTTTGTGTTCAAATAAATAAATTCTGTACTTAGTTTGATGTGTTTAACTCTATTATCTACTTGTTTTTGTGATGCCGAATCTTACGTTACCATTCATGTGGCATTTTATCTTGTTTTGCAAACAGCCTAAAAAACTGAAGTAACATATATGACTCTTAGAATTCACGTGTGTTTAAATAAATAAATAAATATTAAAACCGAACCCACAAGAATGGATATGCAAGTATTGCCAAATACTATCCAGGGATATCATCAAGTCAACAACAAGAATCATTATTAAAAAAAATAAAAACCTTCATTTAAAACTTACCCGTATAAACTGAACACACTAAATATACCATAATTCTGTCTTGTTTGCAAATAAATTTTGAAATAGTAATAAATATTTATAGAACTCTAACACAGAACTCAGAAAGTTTTATTAAGCACAAAATATTCGGAGCCAATTACTACTACTGTGGTTTGCGCTACTTATATGGACATAAGTAGCATATGACGTTAGTCAGGAACAGAATGTCTGGCAGCAGAGAGACAAGAGGATCGGACAGTAAAGAACGGAAGCAGAATGTAATTTGTATGAAAATGAAAGAACAATGAAGTCTGGGCCATTTTAAGACAATTGATGGTTATTTTGCAAATTGAGCCTTTACTATGTGGTTGTGAGATTTTATCAACACGTTCTGTAATCTCGTGTCAAACATATTCGGTTGTTTTGTTCACTACACTACTATTTAATAATAATCCGTGGTGATAAAATATTAAATTAAACTCAGTTGTTTGAGTATTCTTTTTAATTAAAACAAAAAAAAACAAAAACAAAATTGAGACCGGAATTGGCTTTGTTGATCAGTATTTTCGTGACCTATAATGACAGTGTTGGTGAAAAATTACTAGTAGCGAGAATCAATAGGAAACATATCGGAAAGGAGGCAAAGGGGAAGAGTATGCGTGATGAGGAAAGATTCATGCATAACCAGAAAAAAGGTAAGTGTAATAATAATAATAATAATAATAATAATAATAATAATAATAAACATTTCTAAAGTAATATGTGAAAACAAAACACTTTAAAGTTTCTAATTGTGGGTTACTTGAATAAAGAAATAAATTATTAGTCATAAACATTCAAGAAAGTATATCATGATGGGAATCAATTAGTCCTCGATATTATAATATTTAAGTCTTAATAAATGTACACTAATTAAACTCATACACTTTGATCAACAGAAAATAGCAATTTGATGTTTAATATCTAACAATAAGAAAATAAGCATTGACACTTTCAAATGTCGAATACTGTGAGCTTTTAATGAACTATAACGTCTGGATCAAAGAAAATCGACTAACAAAAGATAAGCGCACAACTAATAGGAATGTATAGGATGTTACAGTCACTGATCAAACTGATACATAACAACAGGGGGCGACTTATCAAAAATTCCATACAATTAATTCCCTTTATGAATTTAAATAAAGCCAGAACATATCACGTAAAATGATATAATCAAAGAAGAAACCCCTTTTAAAGAGTTCAGTTCCAAAGTTATATCATCATACTTATGTGTATGTGATAAATAATAGGTCGGTAAATAATTAATGTGTTAGAATTTGATTATATAGTTTTAAATAAACAATTATGTGTTGAAGGAAAAGATCTACGAAACATGAGAAATTTATAATACAATAAAGTGAAGAGTGCAACTATGAGCATTGTTAAGTTGAAATAAATATGTACCAAAGCTCTCAGAATATAAAGTGGGTTAATTTGTTTTTCTCTCGGTATCCCCCAAATGACAAACAGGATTCCAAAACTAACCAACACAATACGCGTATCATTATGATTATTACAAAGACTTCATTACCTATGACACAACTTTATTTCAACTTAAAAATAGTTCACAGTTACACTTTCCACTCAATTGGATTATAAATTTATTCAGAATGATATTGTCAAACTCCATGTAACAGCTAATTAGATTCTAACGGACATGTAGTCACTTATCGATCTATAAATTTTCATATATATATATATATATATATATATATATATATATATATATATATATATATATATAACTGACACAAGAAACTGTCAACAAATATCAGCTTTTCATACATACATACAACAGCTGAGTCCACAACTCTTGAAAACTCAAATGAACTTAAAATGCATTGAGCGATATCTCAGACCAAGTTACAGTAAGAATCAACCATAGGCTGCTAGATCCCAAAGATTGGTGCATAATATGCGTTACTATATTTAGAAGTTGAATACCTGTTTTTTAAACTTAGAACTGTACAGATGGACCAATCGTTACATCAGTAGAACTATGTTCACAAACATAAGCAGAGATGAATGTTGGCTAACAATGGAACCCAAGAAGCTGGTCTCGTACTATTGCAGACTCGTCAGCCGGATTACCTTGGTTCCAGAATTGATGTTCGCCCTGGGACTCGGACCTAGTACTGTTTGCTCCAAATACCATAGCATGTTAACAAATATAAAATAACTGCCAAAACGTTGCTTCATAGTCAGTCACGAACCACGGAAAAACATGTGAGCATATTCAATTTGCATCAACGAAAACAATAACAGAAAACATTCATCAACATGAGAACAAAAACAAAAATCTACTTGTTTCTTTCTTGCATACAAAAACAAAAAGAATGAAACAACAATTTTATGTGTACGCAAGAGTGAGTGCATGGTCTCTAATCAGACAATACAACAAAGAACAAGTGTAAACAAGAAATAATATGCAATGAGATACTAGGCAACTTCATGAAATTATACGTAGAATGCTAAAGAACTCTGAAAATGTTTGGTACTAATTGAAAGGTAACAAATAATATCATTATAAGAAATGTTAACAAGATAGATTAATATGCCAGGAAATAGAAACGCTTATGCGCTACTACGGACAGGAATTCGACTGAGAAAACATTTAAATTCTGAATCGAAGGGACTCTAAGTAAGTTAGACAACTCTTGGAAGTACGATATTCAGGTTTATAAGTAATTGATAGACATTAAATTAGGCCTGACTCCATTCGGAAAAAATCGATCTAGAGCAAGATCAACGGAACAGAAAGATCAACAAATGAAGACAATGAAACCTACGAAAACAATTAATCACAAACAAAGTGACCAGCAAAAACTTACTCAACACTTGTGAAATAACCAAGAAGCTCACTTTCATATAAAATAAACATTGATGATGTTATTCAAAACGACAATGAATGCTCCACAATTGAAATCATTTAGCCCGAAGAACTCACCAAAATCAAAGTCATCCACTTGAACTCAAACCTCCATCATACTTTAAATGGTCAACAGGATAGAAGTCAAAAGGACGAATAAATAATAGAAATTCTAAATGAGATATCCAGAACTTACTCTTGAGGAGGTTTCGGTCCACTATACTGATCGGAGAAAAATAAATATTCGATTGATTCTTCAAAATCATTCAGAAATTTACAAACCTATAACAATGAAAACAGTTTTTCAATATCACAATAAATAATTGATGAGTAATGAATCCACTGTGATTGACAAAAAAGGTTTTGTACAAAAGTACCATCATTAGTCATGCATTTTGTATCATCAAACTTCATAGTACTTCTACTAGTTCTGAATAATACATAATATATATGACTGCATTCACTGTTGATACTGAACAAATTCGGTTAGCTGAGTACGTAGTGTGTAATATGTTGGTTGAGTGCAAAAAGGATAGTAACACAAATAGAAATACGTAAACACTGTGGTACCACAGTCAAATTAGTCTCTTTATAAACAGTCCGCAGTATGATGCTGTGATATGAACAGCTTTGCTTCCCGTTTAATAAACCTTTTAAATTTGAGATAAATAGTTATGTATTTAATCGAAAATACCTCTATGCACCTACATTTATTTGTTGATAACACTTTAGAAAAATCAACTTGCAGTTCGATGTGTTCCCTAAAAACAAAGTTATCTTAGAATACCGGCTTTAGTGATTATGAAATATTGTACATGAGTTGGCTTATTCGTTTTCATTACATCTTTTACACCGGAACTCTACGTAAAAAAGTGATACTTCTAATTTATAACATGGAACTGTCAAATATGACTAGGAATGAAAGCGTTCATAGATTTCACTGTAGTTTCTTTTAACATTTTCCATGTCCAGTGACTAATAATAATAATAATTTTATGTAAAACTATGAAATTTTATTACAGTTAAGAATTTCCAGCATCAGTTGCGTAATATTGCAATAATTTTTTCTGTAAAATAAATTTAAAATTATATTCTACAAATTTTTTTTTCTATCCATCTCCATTGCGGCGAAAGTTGAAGATCAGCTCAGGTGCTCGACGATTATTCTTTATCCATCAGACATTGGTTGATTGAATTTCAATATATTCGACTCTCGTTTTATTTAAATGGTAGACAAGGAATTACATATACAAACAAGTTCCAATGTGATAGGCTGTAAGCCATTCTTAAAACTCCGCAAGTACGCGTAGTTAGGATTTATAAGCATATCTAGAACAGGAAGGTTTATTGCAGTATTGGCAGTTAGAAAATAAGTGACCTATACGTCTGAGAAGACCGTTGTTGTCAAATTTCTTTTGACAGGAACAAAATCTAATTTAATTTACTGCATATTTTGAGTTAGAATTTTCATTTTTTTCTTTACGTATTGTAAGACACACATTTAAAGACTTCAACTCCTAACAAACCACTGAGTATAAATAAAATTATTATAGAAGAAAATTACTAATAGATAAACCTATAATGAACAAGTGACACTGAAAATACATCAATATTAGTAAAAGCGGAATTATGAATTGACTGACGTCAAAAAAAGTGGGTCAATGTGAACGCCAACATAATATTATCAGGTGACCCTCCCAATTCATTTTTTCATGGATGACCACTAAAACGAAAAATCTACCAACTAAATTCTGATTTCCGACGGTTGTCTATCAAAAGAAAATTGAAGTTATTAACATAGCCTTGCTGTTTTAATGTTTTACAGTAAACAGAAATAAACTGTGTCAAACAATTTCATAATAATCTATTTATTACACTACACAGATTAATGCTTAGCATGAATGGCTAATGAGTACGCATATAGGTCAATGATAACTGCTAGCCAGATAAATATATCGAGTAATCATTTAACAAACAGGAACCTGACATTTACCTGATGTAATTAGATTGTGATGTAGAATGTAAGGTGAAACAATTCAAACTTCATGATTTTCCTGGGCGCATATATATTTGGTGCCCCCTTGTACCAATATTTATGTGTTCAAATAAATAAATAAATAAATGGGCTATGATAAAATTTCTGGAACATGTTTTTATTTATTGAAATAGAATATATGAGAGTTAAGTAACGAAGATTTTATTCTCATTACAACTTATTCTAATAATAAATATGAGGACAAATACATTGATATTGATAAAAAATGTATCCGAAAGCGATAATAATTAAACTAGGCGTGAAAAAAGCCCTCAGTAGCTAGACATACAAGGGGGTTGATTTATAGACATAAAAAACAAGCTTCAAAGATGTCAATCAGATAGAAATATCTACATGATTACTATTTGTGAACTTAACACAAAATGACAACTATTAACTGAGCTAAAATAAGATCGACTTACAAGAGGATTGAAAATTGCCGGGACAACTTCTGGAATCTCATTTAAAAACATGAAAGATTCTGGCAGGTATGAATGTCGTTGTCCACGTTTGTCTGGACAGTATACAGCTAAATCTTGATGATCTTTTGCTAATGCTTGAAGACGACGCTTACGACCAACAGCCATGACCCATCCATCCATTTCAGAATCGTCCATAATAACTTTCACTACCTGTGATAACAAAAATAATGAAAATGTATCTCGGCAAACATATAACGAATTTATGTATTCGCTGAATCCTTTGTATACTGTGTGAAGTTTCTATATATATATGAAATTTAGTCCATATCACTTTATGTCAAGTGATTTAAAAGTAAAGCGTTCGCGCAAGACCGAAGGTTTCGGGTTCAACTCTTGCATAAAGGTCATGGATGCGCGCTGCCGAGTTCGATACTAGAACGAAACGGACGTCCAGCGCTTCAAGGTTTTCAATGGTGATCCAGTTTAGATGAGTACATAATTTCAATAAAATGTAACAATCTCCACAACCCCTTATTAAAATGTTAGCCTTTGATATAATTGCTATGAACTGAATAACTACACTGCTGGGCAATATTTCTGTTACTATTCACAATTTGAGGTATAGGATAACTCTTCTAATTACAAATAATTCAACAGTGTACAGTTAGATAGCTGTACATGTATACTTACAATAAGGAGCTTAAGTTAAATAACATCCAAGAGTCAGTACGTACTTACTTCAAAGACACCAATGAATTATAATTTTAGCAATAATTGATTGTACATTAATATCCATTAGAATATATGTTTCAAATTGTGGTCTCAATCACCAGTTGTGTTAATATTCAACACTTGTTGCAATACGATTTTTTAGCTAACCTGATGTTATGGAGTTAAGCATCGGAAAAACAAAGAAACACTGGAGTGAGTGTTCGTTTGATAATTTAGTAGTGTGGACATTAAGATTTACCTGGCCAGTTAATATAATCTGTATGAAACTTCCGGATATAATCTTGGTACTCTGTAAACTCAGTTTATGATTAAAGAAAGCTAGTGTTAAATGCTTCGAATCCACTCCTTCCAACGGTCTTACATGAATTTCATTGCAAGTAACGCTGTCATGATTAATCACATTTGAATTTGATGGATTTGGCTGAAACATTTTATACAAAGTTTAAGATTTTTCTTCTGATTATGAACATCTGCCGAGGATGACAATAATAATAATTACTACAAAAGTGTACAGTTCGAAACTGCTTTTTAATACTTTTATAAAGGTATAGAAAGTCTACTTTCTTACCAACAAGTTGAAAATTAGTGACATTTGAACTCTAGGATCGATAGATGTGAGGTATGATAAATCAAGCAGAGGATTCATTTTCGAAAAGTCAATCTGATTTAATTTTAGGTAGCATGCACGAAGTGTAGTGCAGATTTTAGTGTTTTAACATTATAAATGAAGTTTAGTAGATCATTTTAATTTAGTATAACTCACCACCCAGTGGAGGGGATTTTAGACCTGCGACATACTGCTTAAAAGTTAATTCACCTAACAGTTAATCAACCGTTAGACAAACAAAATAACAAAAACTTACAATGCTATCATGAACCGGTCTTATCCAGTTAGCAATTGCGAAGAATAAACATTGACGCTTGACTAAACGCAATTCAATTAGCATTGCATCACAGTGTACACTTCCAGTACACCAAAGAGAATATAAATGTTCTGATTCCTTCATTAATGTCCCAGTTCCAGGTTCAGCTAGACCATCGTCACCTAGATAGTCAAGTTCAAGCATGTAAATATCTTAGCGAGAAAAGTTAAATAAGAAACCAACGTATAACCCATAGTAGCAGATATAAATTAATAAATTATGCTTCATTTATCCCAAGGTCACAGCTTTTGTTCCCAAAAAGGTCGTGGGTGCAAAATGCTGAAGGAAGAGTCTCATGTAAGAAGGAAGTAATTACCCATTGCTCTTCGATTTTTTAATGGTACCCTACATTATGTCAATCCGTAATTAAAATCAACAATAAATAATACATAAAATAGGGATTCATACTGTGTTGCTATCAAATAACCCACACATCACTAGCCTTAACAATATTAATTCATGCAAAAATGATGAATTACAAACTATGCAGTTAAATGCTTCAAAAAAGATTTACAAACAATAGTTTTATCTCAAGAATTATGTTTATTTATGTATTTCACTGGTGTAAATTTAGCCACCGACAGGAAAATAAATTTAGCCTAGTGTGTATAATAAAGAATTTAACACATCACAGTTTTTCGCCCATATTTCAGAGGTAAGCTGCTTAATATTGATGATTTCTCTAAGGAAAATTATTGTATAACCGCCAACCTTTAATGACTACCAAACTCTGGTTATTTCATTGAATTAGAAACTTACCAACTACGGCAAAATTAGTTTCTAATAATGGCTGATGAGCAGAAAACCAAGTGTTTGCCAACTGTGCATTTTTGGAACGTCCAATTAAAAAATTCAACGTATATATCATTAAGGCTAGTACAAAAAGCATTTCCAAATGAAAGTTGTCCCATGAACGAGTAAGATGATGTGGAACCTAGAAATATATGAAGTATGAAGATGTATGAAACATAATTTTAATACTGAATTAAAACATATTATGATATATATGTTATCATGATAAATACGTGATGTGGGGTTACAAAACTTCATTTTACAAAATCTTGAGTATAACAGTTTAATATCTCTCAAAACACTCTCCAGTTGTCCCAATACACTTATCCCAACTCCTTTTTAACTACTCAACATATCCTTGAACATACATACAAATCAAGCTTCTCAGATATTCTTTTGTTTCACACTGCTAGAATCATACGGGTAGATGACTTTCCAGTTCATCAAAGATCATCCGGACAGTAAAAGAAGGTATTAGGAAGTCAGTTAAGAAATAATTTAAAGTGGATCAGTTAGCAAGGGTATCATAAATTTTTAAGCGACATGAACTCAAAGTATACTGTCTCACAGTATTTATATGAAGTCTATAAGCATTTATAACAGGCAGTTTTGAAAGTGACAGTAAATATTTGTACGTGTAACATTCAGAAGGCTTCTAGGCAATTGTCTTTATTTGACAAACATAAATATGCGAATAATTTATAAACATTTGACCCGATTTTACAAGATAGTATAACAATGAAATTGTGTGGAAACAGAAATTCCGCTTTTGAATAAAACTTGGGGAGTGAAAAATATGCCACGACTAGAAACCATCTTATACCATTCTGTACCAATCAACGAAATTCCACTCTTTAGACTGAGATGTAGAACACTACTGATAACAGTGAAAATAAAATGGATAATTAAGACTGAAGTGAATGAAACAAAACGTGCACTGGTCATGTAACATTCACGACAAGCTACGTGAACATATTTGGTGCTTTATGAATCTCTGAAACAGAGAACACAAGTGAACCTCACATAAAAGTACAATGGTTAAGGTTAGCACAACTGACAACATAGAAAGCGAAAATCAGCAAATGATAGGTAAAATTATTAAGATAAATGATTAAGAACAGAAAATACCTTTGCAATTATCAGATTTCGTTTACCATTTTTTGTTTTATCGGTATTTAGAATTGGTTGATTGGGTGACAAACCCTCAAACTCTTCATCATCGTCAAGTCTCATGTCCTCAGACTTAAATACAAATAAAACCATTATTTATAGAAGTTCTTATTGAGAACAAAATACAAGTAAACAAATAATACATTTAAAGAATATATATTACATAGAAATAGTGCGTTAAACTAGAACCTTCTTTCAAATAGTATTTAAGACTGGAGTCAGTATTTACAGTATCGAGAAACACAAAATCGTTCAGATATGCATATTTTATCATGCTAGCGTTAGAGCCCAGGATTTAATGAGAACCACAGATTAAACGTTACGTGAATTCTAAGAGTCATATATGTTACTTCAGTTTTTTAGGCTGTTTGCAAAACAAGATAAAATGCCACATGAATGGTAACGTAAGATTCGGCATCACAAAAACAAGTAGATAATAGAGTTAAACACATCAAACTAAGTACAGAATTTATTTATTTGAACACAAACGTTAGTACAAGGAGGCACCAAATAAATATGCGCCACACAATAAGGTGAAGCTAGTAGTAGTTGTTTGTGTGATGGCTGTGATACAACCCGGGTGCTCAGACCGAAACAGGTAGTTTTCTTGGGCGGCCACTACCCGAGACTTTAGTCTACAGGTCTAAACCATAAGGCAGTGGACTAATGTTAGGAGGTGCAGAATCATGGTAGCCGGTAAACAACAATAGGTTTATACGCCATTTGTTCCTTCTGGATCCTGGAGCTGATGTGCACCATTGGTTTGGAATCAGGATTTTCCAGCTCCCCACCAACCCGGTCAAAGCGCCGAACATTTGTTTTTCGTCCTCTCGATTTCGTAATCAACACCCCCGCTACGAGAAGGCAGTGAGTAGTACTTCCGTGGCAGTGGCTGTATGCGTGTGACCATGCGAGAGCATTTCGCGAGGGAGAACGGACTGTCGCCACCCTCGTCCGTATCAGGGCGTTTGGGGGCAAGTACAGAATATAACCTTGTCACTTAAGTTGAATAGTTGATTGTCACTCATAGTAGGATGAATATTGTGGTTTGAAAATAAGAAATCTATCCTGAATAAACTTTAGGAAGATCATAGAAATACTTGTCTCAAAAAACAATGCAACTCAACCATATCACAGCTTTGTTTACTAGGTTTAAGTTATACATGTATAAGGTCACGTATAATACCGTTGACTATGTTGACATAAAACCGGACTCAAACACATGATCTAATAACTGTAAATTGAGTGCTTTAACTACAATCATAGCGTCAGTATCTACTTTAACCTCAGCCCCATTTTGTTGTACAAATGTGAACACAATAATGTTGAATTTACATATTTCCAAGAGGGTAGAAAGAATTGTGTAATATCTTAAGTCTACATCTCTAATAAGGGAAAAATATGTTTAAATTTGTTCCCAAAACACATGGGGTCAACTCAAAACTTCATAATCAGTAGTGCTTCAACCGCTAAGTCACAACTCCACATATGTATTACTCATTTCCAACGAAAAGTTATTACTTTATTTCTAGTACCCTAAAAGTTGTGATAACGGCTAAAAACAGTAAACTAAATAGTGGAAATATTGAATGACACTCAATTCAGTGACGAACTATGTCAAACGTGACAAAATGAATGCTAATTAAATGGTTGTGTAGGTTTAAGCTAAAGACCATAAAAAAATGGTATTTTACATTTGATTTCAGTAAAATGTTGTTTATTTTACATTTACTGAGCATACCTCTTCCTCTAATTCGCTATCCTCTACGGTTGCTCCATCAGTTGGTGATTTAGTTGTGTGAAAGACTGCTTCATCATCACGATCGATCCCAGTGTTTAGAGAGAAACGATTTTCTGAAATATTTTTATCGACACTCTCAGCTTTGTGTTGACGGGCTGATTGGATAGGAACAGATCCAGTGATATCAGCAGTAAAAGCTACAATATTCAGGAAACCAGAACATTAATAGAAAATATTGGCAATAACCTCATTATTCTGCATGAACCTTAGAAAGCCAGTTGAGTATTTTCATCTTTTTCGTTTGTAGTTTATTAAGTGCAGTGATAATGTTTATAAACCCTTTATTTCCCGGTACAAAAATAACCAAGATTTACAAAGAGACAAGTTGAGCCATTAATAACAGTTGACGCAGTAATCACTAAATCGATGTCCATTTATTGTACTACAAACTTGAGAATTGTTTAGTTTATATGTTGGCTTGTCTATACTATTTAGGGTAGCCACACACTAATACAGGCTAAGAAAATAGTTTACACTAACCTACGTAAAGTCAAGTAGATTTGCTTAATAATTATTCGGTACATTATTCTTTTGAATGAGTACCATTAAATTATTCATGAAATAGTTCGAGTACAACATCGTTTATTAATTACACTTTATTATTTTTAATTCATTAGCGATCTCTTCTCGTCAGATTACGTATAGATACCTTCAGAACTGAAATGAACACTTCAGATCCGGATTAAACAGATATCTAAAAGTTTTTAATTTTCATAACAGAAATAGAAAGCAGTTTATCAATCCTAGCTGTATCCATGAGGTCAGTGACGATAGGACTGAGCCATGTTGATAAGCGTAAACTACCTGGTTGGAGTCCATGTAGCCATCCCAAACAGTGGTTACAGATTTTGATTTATATGCCTCCAGATCGTTTGTGATGGAGCGGGGTGAATCCGTTCTTTCTCTTCTCCCGAATTCCGCGGTTCGAAATTCTCCACAATCTCTTTATTTTTATTTCACTAATTTATATTTTTTCGAATCATATCTTTAATGCACCCGGCCTACTAAGAACGATTCTGAGCCATGTCTAACCACTGGTTACGATAATTACTCGAACCCAAATCAAGTAACCAACACCGGTGAACATGGCGCAGTCTAACTGCCGATAAATTCCCAGATGCATACCACGTTTAGGTTTTCATAACTGTGATGTCATGACAAGCAGGCTAGTAGAGGTATTCTAAAACAATTAACAAAATACCTCACGAATTAAAGCCAACATTTTTCTTGCAATGTCCATTACCTATGTCTGGCGCTTGTGACTCATCACCGACAGCTTGAAGACATGACTAAGGAAATAACGTTGAGTGAGGGAATTTTAATGTGATGCGGAGTCTGTTATGTTGATGGGGATCCTCTTGGGTCAGTTCCCTACAAAAACTGGAGCTTCGTACTAGTCTGCAACAAATAAAATACTGTTTTGAAACTATTATTTCAAAATAATATTTTGAGATGGATTGTATAATCTAATTAATATATAATCGTTACACAGACAGTTGCTAGTAAAGTATACTTATAAATGATCTCTTTAGATTAAAACTAGACTACACACTTTTTGTCCAAAAATGTGTAAAAGTAATCACCCCACAAAGATATGCGAAACGTTTGGCATAACAAACAACTGGTGGATACTAAGTCGATGTAGAAATTTCCTTATTGATTAAGGTATAACAATGAACGTTAGCTACCATAAAACTTGATGATTTCGAAAGCGCCGTCTTACATCTTTTCAGTGGCTTAGAATAAGAAGATTTATGGTGAGCCCATAAATTTTTTTTCGGAACTAGTTCTGAGTTTACTCACAAACATCACGGCGTTATTTTTCCTCTTGGTAGTAATTATTTTTTTCTTTTGTACATTTGTAATGTATTCATTTGACGCTGAAGGCATTATCCAGGACTGCATTTCAACAGAGTTAAACGTTCTAAACTTGATGAATGTGCCTCCATTTAGTCGATTAAACCCACGTATTTGGTTTGCACAGGTGGAAGCACAGTTTCAGCGGCGTAACATACGTTCACAGACATCAAAGTACTCTTTCGTGCTTGGAATACCGCCGACGGAAGTAGCATCTGAGGTATCGGATCTCATAGATAATGTCCCTGCAACTAATGTATATGATCAGTTAAAGCAGGCCATCATCCAACGTACCTCATTATCGGATGAAAAGAGGCTACAGAGCGTGGTTTTCATTGTAGTCCGGCTTCGTTACTTTGGGAAATTTAGATAAAATAATGGCGAATATGTCGTTTCCTGGAGTGTCAATTTTAACACTATGTATGTGGTAGTCTGATTGAATTCCCAGGACTTAAAGTTTAGTACAGGAATCAGTAAGTTTTCTTCTTTTAACGTCAACTAATAAGTTGTAGAAGCTTAAAAAATCTGCACCTAATATGGGGTGGTGGACGTCAGCAATAATAAATACCCAGGATAAATGACGGCTAATTCCCAAGTCTAATGTTAGAAATTGTTCGCCAAATGTTTTTATTTTGGTTTTATTAGCTGCCCTTAGACTATATTTTTCACTGTTAGCAATGGGTTTTTTGGCTAAGGTAAGTGGGATGACACCGACTTGAGCTCCAGTATCTACTAAGAATTTATACCTTGAAGTTTTATCGAGGACATGGAAAAGGCGAGTATGAGATTGACCCGCAATATTTGTTGCTACCATGGTTTGGTTGACACTTTTTGGTGAGGAAAATGACTTGAAAAATTTACAAGACGTAAGGCATTTCCTAGCTTTGTCACAAAGAATTTGCTCAACTACTGTTGGTAAACGTTGTAGCCAAATTTCCTTCAGAAAAACATCACCAACTTTATAAGGTTCAGCTAATTGCCTCATCTGGCGTAATAATTGGGAGGGTGACTTGTCACCTAACTCACACTCGTGAGGGAATTGTTGTAGCCTCTTCATCCGATAATGAGGTACGTTGGATGATGGCCTGCTTTAACTGATCATATACATTAGTTGCAGGGACATTATCTATGAGATCCGATACCTCAGATGCTACTTCCGTCGGCGGTATTCCAAGCACGAAAGAGTACTTTGATGTCTGTGAACGTATGTTACGCCGCTGAAACTGTGCTTCCACCTGTGCAAACCAAATACGTGGGTTTAATCGACTAAATGGAGGCACATTCATCAAGTTTAGAACGTTTAACTCTGTTGAAATGCAGTCCTGGCTAATGCCTTCAGCGTCAAATGAATACATTACAAATGTACAAAAGAAAAAAATAATTACTACCAAGAGGAAAAATAACGCCGTGATGTTTGTGAGTGAACTCAGAACTAGTTCCGAAAAAAAATTTATGGGCTCACCACAGATTGAAGGCAGGTATGTATGATCGAATTCGATTATTTGTGACTGTTTAATGGCAATATGAACGTCAAAATTTTTTCATCAACCAAAATGCTTTTCTGTCCTTTAGATGATATCAAGAAGTGTCAACAAGCTAAGAATAAACAGTAGCTACAATTCCAGTCACGAAATGAAATATCGTAGACTACGTGCAAACAAGTTCAATAACAATTGTCATCGAACACTTACAATCATCTGGATCCTCAAACTCTGCGAAATCATCATCTAAGTTAGCACCACAGACTTTGTTTAGATCACATAGAAAAGCCACAGCGATGAGCCATAAGCAATATAATGGGACATCCAACTGTGAACGAAGAAAGGCTGAAATCATAATAAACCAAAGGTCACGTCGCAAAATTAAATTGACCGCTTCCGATATTCCCAATGCTTTGTTTATGATGCGATGCTACCTGATTGATTTCCTCCAGCCCACGACTTCATTCAAATCGAGATATTAGTTGTCGCTTCATTATTTCAGTAACATTGTACGCAAAGAGTTTATTCATTCGGCTGCTACAATCAGTTTTCAGAAAGAATCCGCTTCAGTTTCAGTTTATCCAAAGTTTCCGTGGTATATGTACGAACTAAAGATTCCTTTGTACTTAACTGCCAGCTGATCACGAATTACAAGTATAATATGCCCATTTGTAATCATCTAGTTCTACTTGCCTTAAATCTTACCATTTCGGGAATTCTTAGTTAATACATTAATTCGGATACTTGTGACTATCACATTGGCATCGCGCTGAAACTTGGGTATATATTCAAATTCCAAAGGTTTCGAATATTACGTGGGAAGGTTTGATATCTGGAGTATGTTAAGGATGATAAAATCGTGGTTCTTTTCCTCAATTAAAGGCATTGGGTTGAGTTGTATTCATTAGATTCTGAGGAAAATTCTGATGATTCACTTAAGTATTTGATAGCTGCGTGTGTCACGTGCAGTAAATGGATACAAGTTCAGTCCATAGTACTTCAAGTACAGGGTGATCCAGTCTTTTTAGATGAATGATTTCTTATGATCTCAGAGACACACTCCATAAGACACTGAATGATTTGTGCACAAAACGTATAATTGAGCCTATGCAGTCTTCTAAATGGGGTACTCCCACTGTCTCGCCCCTGAGGTCCGACGACATAACCCCTAGAATATGTGGTGATCATACATTAAGACTGAACTCCCGTTTGTTGAAGCAAAGGTGGACGACGGTGGAAACTAAAGATATTTTAATCGGATCCACCGTCCTAAGGCATTCTCGAAAGTCGACTTAAGAGATGTTTATCTTTAAATCCCTTTAGATCAATCTTCGTCTATTTTGACAACAATTAACAATCTTTTCGACCTATTTTAATTCAAATTTCTTCCATTTCGTTGAAGTTGTTCACCATTCATATTTCGGGAAGTGATAAATGATGTAGTCAGTTATCTTGAAGGCGTTGGAGTTTATCAAGACGATCTCATTATTCATGTTTCTGATAAAGTAATTCATGATAAGAGATTTGTCGCTTCATTGTAACGTTTAGTTGAGAATATCACACTGAATCCAAATAAGTGTTCGTTTTATGTATCAAGTCCTGAATGTCTTGGATACCAAAGTGACAATGGGAGTTACGAACCAGATGTAAAACGACAAGCTCTACTGACAAATGCACCACTTCTAAAAAATTCTACAGAACTGCGTTTATTAGTCGGCTCTCTTCAATACTATTCCCGTTTTATTCGTAATATTTCTTGTCGTGCTGACTGTTTATTTCAAATCCTGACATTCGATTCGTTCAAACAAGGTGAGAAACAAGAGCCATGATCATGAAGTCTACTAAGGATTCTTCAAAGTGATGATGTTCTTCGAACTTACTTCCCTAGAATACACCCCGTATCTATTACTAATTCATCACCGTGAGTATTTTTGCAGCATTGGAGAATGGAAATAAACCGGTTTTCCATGTTTCACGCAAACTTACTGTTACTGAACAAGGTAAATCGCGAACTCAGCTAAAAGCACTAGCTGTTGAAAGACGTCATTAATATTTTCCGGCAAGAAATTCATTATTCTTACAGACCATAAAGATTTGAAGTTCAGTTATTGTCCTGAAAAATCCTTAGCACGTTCCTCAGCTGCTGTGGTTCAACGATGAAGTATTGCTTGAGTACCCATGACCATATAGTTCAGCACACAATTGTCAAAAAAATTCAACATAGTGACTACATTTCTTGACAATCACTACAAGATAAAGTTGTTGGTACTGCGGACTGCTTGTTGATGCAACCTTAACCGTTCATATCTCACTAAAGAAACTCGTCGATACTTTGGATGTGTACTCAATGCCCGTGGTGTTTGAATGAACTAATGATTCCTTTGTACATGTTGAATGATTTATTTCGAATTCCAAATACAGTACATTCTGGTATTCTTAATTCAAAAACTCCCAATTATCACAATGCCATGAAAAAGGTTGAAATATCAGTCTGAAAAGTAGATTTCTCATCTATTTTTCAAAGTACGATGAGTTATCCACTACTGATGGTATTTTGTGTTTAAATTATTGTGTTATCATTCCTCCTTCATTACGAAAATCTATCCTTAAATATCTTCATGGTGGACATTTTGGTGTTGAGAAAATGAAACTCTTGGCATAGTCGAAGATAAATATATATATATATATACGTCGTACGGCAAGCAGTTTTGGAAGATGTCGTAAGTTGAAAAGTCATCATTAAAAGTGAACCCCATGGACAATATCGTCTGAGGCCTAACAGAGAATTCACAAAGACTATTATGGTTCATTTCTTGTTGTCACTGATTCTTTTTCTAAACGATTTAAAGCTTTTTCACAACATCACTAAATTCCGAACTCATACTCCATGCATTAAAAAATATTTTTAGTCAGGGGAGCGTTCTTATAGCATTAGTGGCTAATAATGTCTCCAGTTTTGCAGCAGGGGCACTCACTATTTGGTTTGATGATAAAGGATGCAGATAGTGAGGACTGCTAATAATTTTATTGCTACTTATACAATTGATGAATTAAATAGGGTAGACACACTTTCGCTATAATATAGAGATGTTAAAGATTCTAACGAGAGAGAATCCAACGATGTTATTGAAAAAGAATTCTTCATCCGAATATTGGGTGTTTATATTACATGTATGTTAAATATTATTTTGGAAATGATCTTCGACCGGCGAAAGAGATTGTGGTGAGGAATGTTGCAAAATCTATGGTTCAAATCCTGGATATCGGTGATCTAAGTACACACAAGTGACAAGTTGATCAAATACAATTCCAGGGCTAGTTGAGTCTGTTTCGATTTTGATAGTTCATTTTAATACTCATGAAAACATTTTATATCGAATATACAACCAGACAGACATATGGTGAACCTAAAGAGAAAACAGAAATTCGGATTCTCACTTAAGCTGTCGCATATGATGTTTGCATGAACTAAAGATTACTTTGCACTTGACCACCAGCTGACAAGGAATTCCAAGTATAATATGCTCATTTGTAATCGCCTAGTTTTACCTGTCTTAAATCTTACCATTTCGGGAATTCTTAGTTAATACATCAAATCGATTACTTTTGATTAGCATAACATCCCATATCACATGACCTCAGTGTACGAATTCCTAAATACCTCCTTGGTCATATTTGTGAGGGACTCTGGTTCTTTTGCACTCTGAGTGCATAATTTGTCTTATATTTCGTTTACAAATTTTTGATCTGACTTGAACAGACACATTATTATTGGTTTCTTTATGAAAATCAAAAAATAGAACACGTTCTTACCTGTCCGTAAATGTATTTTTACTGGAAATTCACCTTCTCATTGAAAGTTTTCGCTGATGGAATGAACATCACTTGTTCGTGTAGAGCATACTAGCCACTCAATCAGAAAGACAGAATCCCAACCTAAGTTTGTTTGCTCATGTTTTTTAAGACCTCTAGTGGTGGACTTGATGGCGATAAGTTTAGGAGGCAGTGAAAATATAAGACTTGTTAACACTCGAAATTTCAGTCCAAAGTCTCCTCGTGTCTTACAGTGTATCAGGATAAAAGGTTTAGGCATTTTCACTTCATGCCCCTCACATTTTAATTCACACGACCCCGAGTTACAACTACAATCTCAACAGCTTGCATGGATGAAATGCTTTTTCTATCCAGTATGTTTAATGAGTGGAACGAATAAGGGAATCAAATATACCACATCACAGAATGAAAGGAATATAGTGAATACCGCATAGACTTGTCACTTTAGTTCAGGCAGTATCTCAGCCATCCCAACTAATTACGATTGTTTTCATAGGGCGTTGTGGATTTTAGTGAACACACATGTGTTATATTCATGTCCTTGAGTTTCGGCGCTTATACGCCTCGTGAGTATTTGTGTTCATATTTGTCGCCCACTATTTTATTTATCATCACTTTATTTTCCTACCTCTTTATCACAATATACATGGTCTATTTCAATTCATAGTCACGATTGTACTGAGTTGTAAAATGGGGTTCGTACATTCGCCTCCGTTTCACTTTGATCTTCCTACATCTCATCTCAATGTCTAAGTAAACTATTGCATGGAAGGAACCAATCAAACTTAATTCGCATGTGGATTTCAATTATCGCCGCGACACCTACGGGGTTAGCCTGTGTGTAGAAAACGGAATTAGAGTAAAGATTTATATACATGACTTGTCATCCCGTTCAAGTAGAAATCAAATCAAAAAGACACTAAACCGGAAAGTAATCATTCTTGCACGATATATTCCATATGAATCAAATCCATAGTTTACAGACATTTACAAAGGAAGTGGTTGAACGTGTTTTTGTGCATGCTCCTTCCTGTTCCACCTTTGTGCGATACGTCACCGAAAATAAATTAGAAAAACTAACTGATGATCCGTAATGAAGAAGAGAACAATAAACAGTCTGATCCATCGTGAAATCCGTTAAAATAATTTCAAAATATAAATATTATTAAATCCTGCCTTCGTTTCAACTTTAATGTCTGGTAGGTAGATGACTAGTATTTGTTCCTCAATCTTTCAAAAGTAGTATCCAGCAAGACTGCTTCTTGAATAAGGAAAACTTAGAGAAGGATGTGGTTTTAAGTAATTACCAGAAGTGAATTTTCGTGCTTTAGGAATTACGATACTTGAGTTTCACGGATAAACCCCGTGAAAGTGCTTTTTTTATTTGCCGTGTAGTGTTAAACGAGGAGACATATCAGGCACTATACACAGTAGTACCGAAGTACCTTTCCACAGCGTAGTAAAACAATCAGCTGAAAATGGTGAGATGGATGCTTTATAGTGTCCAATAACAACATCTTACTTTTGCGTACATCAGGGTATAAATAGATTCTGATAGTTATTATTATATTCGGGT